TCTACCAGGCACACACAAGCCCAGCTAAGTGTTCCATATCACATGTCATCCTCTAGATGCCTAAAACCAGAGAATGAACCAGTAAGACCCACAATATACAACAGGTTAGGTCTTTATAACTTCTAAAGAATGGTATGTCCAGCTAGCCATGACATGTTTTTGCATTGTGACTGCATGCATTCTGAATCTAGATAGCTACCTAATAGTGTCTGACTTTATGTTTAGGGCAGTGGTTCCCAGCCCTGGCTGTATATTAGAATCACCTGGACTTTAAAAATATATAGCCATGGAGAGAAACCAAGATAGTGGCATAGATTAAACATCTATACTGCTGCCTCACACAACAATTTCAAAACTGCAACAGGAAGACAGAGCAGACATTGTCCAGAACCACCAGAAAGGTGGTGGAGTGGAAATTCTACAACTAGAAGGAAAGAGAAAAGGACACTGAGACTCGGAGGAGCTGTGGAGAACAGAGGTGCGGAAAGGGCAGGTGGTTGAATATGCAGCTGGCTTACTCACGGCACACAGAGAGGGAGGGCAGCAGGTGCGCAGCTAGCTTTCTCGTTCAGGAGGGAAACAAAACCTCCCAACTGCACTGAACTCCAGGTGAGTTCCAGGTGAGACTTCAGGTACCCAGACTCATTCAGGGAGAAACTGGACTCTCTGGCAGCAGGCGAAACAGGGCAGTCTTTTCTCAGAAGTGCATACAGCCATTGTCACAGGACACTGAGACATAGAGGCCTCTTAGGGTGGGGCTGATAGGAAACCAAGGCTGTCTGCTCCACCCTGAGACCCCGCCCCATCCAAGCTGAGCACAGAAGCTCCCCCAGCAGAGACACAACTGATCCTCACAGCCAACTGGCCTGAAGGTCAACTCCCCCCAGTTATACTAACAACAATCTAGGCTTAACCACAAGACCGCACACACAGCCCACAAGGGGGGGCACCAAGAGTGTCCACCTCAGATAACTGGGGAAGCTGAGCCACTGGGCCCTGCTAGAACACCTAGCACACAAAGCCACTCCATCAACTCAGGGAAGCAGCTAAAATGTGGAGACAAAGAGGCAGGTCACAAATGAAGGGAATGGAGGAAAGCAAATGATTGGATATAAAGTTCAAAACCACTGTTATAAGGTTTCTCAAGAATTTCCTAGAAAAGGCTGATAAATTTAACAAGACCCTCGAGAATATGAAAAAGGATCAACTAGAAATTAAACATACACTGACTGAAATAAAAAATATTATACAGAGACCTAAAAGCAGACTAAAGGATCAAAAGGATCAAGTCAAGATTTGGAATACAAAGAAGCAAAAAACACTCAACCAGGAAAGCAAAAAGAAAAAATAATCCAAAAATATGAAGATAGTGTAAGGAGCCTCTGGGACAACTTCAAGCATATCAACATCTGAATTATCAGGGTCCCAGAAGAAGAGAGAGTGCAAGATACTGAAAACCTATTTGAAGAAATAGTGACCGAAAACTTCCCCCACCTGGTGAAAGAAATAGACTTACAAGTCCAGGAAGCACACAGAGCCCCAAACAAAAAGAATCCAAAGAGAACCACATTAAGACACATCATAATTAAAATGCCTAGAGTAAAAGACAAAGAGAGAATATTAAAAGCAGCAAGAGAAAAGCAGTTAGTTACCTATAAGGGAGTACCCAAACGATTGTCAGCTGATTTCTCAACAGAAACTATGCAGGCCAGAAGAAAGTGGCAAGAAATATTCAAAGTGCTGAATATCAAGAAACTCCAACCAAGATTACTGTATCCAGCAAAGTTATCATTCAAAATTGAAGGTTAGATAAAGAGCTTAGATAAGAAAAAGCTAAAGGAGTTCATCACCACCAAACCAAAATTATATGAAATACTGAAAGGTATTCTTTAAGGAGAGAAAAAAGAAGAAAAAGATAAATATAAAAGTTATGAACAACAAATACGTATCTATCAACAAGTGAATCTAAAAACCAAGGGAATAAAAAAATCTGATAAACAGTATTAACTGGTAAATATTATAGAATCAGGGGCACAGAAAGGGAGTGGACTGACAATCCTCAGGGGGAAAAGGGAGTGGGGGGTGTGGGAAAAGACTGGACAAAAAGTGTACACCTATGGATAAAGACGGGGGTGAGGGGAGGGTAAGGGCAGAGGTGGGGGTAGGAACCAGGTGGAGGGGAACTATAGGGAAAAAAAGAGGAACAATTGTAATAATCTGAACAATAAAGACTTATTCAAAATAAATAAATAAATAAATAAATAAATAAGTAGCAATGCCCTTGGACCCCAAGATTACCTGAGCCAGGACAAGATAAATCTCTGGAGACAGATTCTGGGCAGGTTTTAAAAGTTCTGTTCAGGATTCCAATGAGCAGCCAGGACTGAGACATGCTGGTCCAGGCCCTCAGCCCCTCTCAACTTTTGATGACCAAAGGAATGCACTGGGGAATCTTGTTAACCTACAGATTCTAGGCATTCTAACATAACATATTTTCCTAACACCTCTTTCCATTATAAGGAAAACTGGTAGCAAAATATTATCTGCCAACTAGAATCTACTGATGATCTGGATCATGTCAGAGCTCTGTAAAAACAGCTTAAAATTAATTAGAATTAAAGACCTCCACCACTGTTTTTCAGCCCTCCCATCTATAGATAACGGACTGTGTAGAATTAGAGTTTGGTCTGACCTGGGAACAATCATAATTTGACCCAACTATTTAGACAAAAAGAAAGGCATTCCAAATTCCCTTCACGCAGCTCCTCTAAGCCTATGCCAGAGTCTGCATTGTTTCCGTGAATACACGTTCTCCATGGAGTTTACCTCCTGTCCAGAGTGACACCCACAAGGCTCACTATTTCTGTCTGCACAGACTGGGCCTGACGTCAGCGGTCCTTTTCATGGCTCTGCCAAGGGCCACGGCTCTCTATGCAGCCAGTGACAAATGGCCTTTAAAAATCCTCACATTTTCTGTAATTAACTCTCCTTTGTTCAAAGAGACAAGACAACTCTGCGAGTGCCTCTTGCAGCTAACAGTGCAAACCTAAGTCTGCCCAGGTCCCCTCTGGTCATGGTGTGCTGCTCTGAACAGAGCCCTGCAGACCCCGAGGACTTCAGAGCTTTCCTATTTCCAGTCATTAAAGGAGATTTTCACGTGACAAGGTGGCAGGGTCTAAAACCAAGGCCCAGAGCTGGGCTCTTTAAAACCCATAAGGAGGAACCTAAGACCTTACTGGGAAAGCAGGGGCAGGAAACAAAGAATATGAACATACAAGAAATCCTATTCTGCGTGTGTGTGTGTGTGTGTGTGTGTGTGTGTGTGTGTGTCTAAACTAATAGAAAGCACACAATTTACATGTTGGTAATTACTAACAATGGGCTTGGTACTAGTACAGATTTTGTGGGTTCAGTTCCAGACGACCTCAATAAAGTGAGTATTGCAATAAAGCAAGTCATAATCTCTTTGTTGGTGGAGGGTCTTGCCTTCAAATTATAAAAAACACAACATCTGTGAAGTGCAAAAAGCAAAGCACAATAAAATGAGGTATGCCTGTATTACCATCTTTGGGTACCAATTCTCTCTTCCCTACATTTTCAAAATGATGCTTGTAAACCCATTTTGCTCAGCTGCCAATCACGTTCCTGCCAATGGCTTTTCCCCCAGTGTTTGAGTTGTCACCCAAAAGCACAAAGCCTTTCTGAATTTGTGCTGAAGAGCTTGACTCTCACTTGCCATGCTCCACTTCTGCCATGCACATTTGCTTATTAAACGTTCTGAAAAGTCCTGTGGTAAATAAGCCCATCTAACTGTTTAAAGCAGCTTTTTCCCAAATATCATTCATTCAGCAATATTTACAAAGTGCCTAATCTAGGCCAGGAGTTTTTCTAGGTCCTGGGGATATGTAAGGCAATACACATTCATGCTCACATGGTGCTTGGGGCTAACAGAGGAAGACAAGATATAAACAAATAGAGCCATTAACGTATAGGCTCACACCTATGTATAGGGCACACATGCCACTGAGACTAACAAAGAAGAGTAAGGGACAAAGGAAAGGCCTTTAGTAGGGGATGATACTGAGAAGAGGCAGAGCACAGTGAGGAAACAAATAATACAGCCACCTGGATGAGGAACTTGGCTGGGTCCCAGAATCCCAAGAGCAGCAAGGATACCCATGTCCATTGTGGACTGAACACCAATGAAGGATCCTGTCAATGGCTCTTTACTAAGATGGAAGCTCCTGGTCCCATCCCCATCACACAAGAACCCCAAGGGAAGGACCATGTATCTAGGATTCAGTTTTTAAAACATTCTCCCTAAACATATCTAGACATTAAAGTAAACTGTACAAAAATAATCCAGTTATGCACAAGAAACTGATAGCCTGGGAGGACTCACAGGAAGAAGGGAAACTAGACAGCTGAGGGCTAGAGCAATGGGGGACATTCTACAAACAAGTCAACCTTTTCAGACCTTTGAGTTTGAAATAAAAAATATTATCTAAACAATAAAATTATTAAATTACAGCTTAATAAAATGAAACACTGCATGTGATCATAACATATATAAAGTTCTATTATGGTATCTGTGATTTTTAGATCATAGGTTTCTCTCTAAGTTCAGAAATTTCCTGTGTCTACTTGGTCATCATTACAATTTACCATCTTTGAATGACTGTTCATCTAGTCACATCTGTCCTAACTCAGGATGGATGTGAGGTTAAGACAGATTCTCATGAATAATAATGAAGAACAAATCATTAGCAAATACCTGTGTAGGGCTCGCTGCATGTCAGGCACTCCTCTTAGCAAGTACTAAACTCAACTCATCTCCAGGTCAGACTTGCTCCTATTATATTTAAGAAAACATTTATTCAAAATATACATGTACATACTCCTATTGAAGAGTTTTAATGGTCCTAAAATCTCCACATGGGCAAGAAAGGAGGTAGTAAGAGTACAAAATGATGCAAATCTCAATTAACTAGTGAGCTCACGTTCTTCTTCACGTACCTTCTGCGGCCGGGGGTCCACATCTCCCAACAGTATTTACTTTGCCCGAGGTTCTTGCTTCCTCCTGTCAATGTACAGGATAAATTTTAAAACCAATAAGCACCATTAAAAGTGACAAGATCAACTTACTTAACACAACTTGGTTTTATACAAAATGGTTAACCACTTTGATTATTCAGGTACATTTTGCACAACAGGTTTCTTATAGAGGTGGGTAACACTTGGATTTCTTGGTAAGTGAACAAGCATTCTAAATGTACCAACAATGCCAACTATTTAAAAGACTGACCTGCAATGTAGTGTGAAAAAATATATATGTTTTGTAGCAAAAATAATCAAATCCTATTATAGCTGTTTTATATATTTGATTATGGATAAAGAATTCCTGTGTAAGATGATCAAAACTTCCAATGCAAGGTGTTCCCTGGGCTTTGCATTTATCCAAGCTTTAACACCCTAGCAAATGTCATATCATGAGTGAATAACTAGAAATAAGTAACACTCATGGAATTAGGGAGATTACAGATTTGACAATATTTAACAGAATTACATGGCAAAATAAACTCATTTGTCACACAATACAGCCCAAGCTGCCTGGGCGACATGTGGCACAGTCGGCTGTGCTTCTCTCAACTCTTAAAAACTCAATGTGAACATTAAAAGCAGTTTCATGTTATGTAGATAAAAAGATTAAGCTTGATGTACTCAATCCAGATTCTTCCTGACCAGTATCAGGAGAAAACATACTCTCTTGGCTGCTCCAGTCTCTAAGGCCCTGCATTCACCTCTCTCCCTCGTTTCCATTTATGGCTCTCTCCCACCTTTTTATTGTATAATGCACATGTGTCAAACACAAGGCCCGCGGGCCAAATCCGTCCTGCCAGGCCTTGCAATGTGGCCCGAACCACGCTGTCATCACTGCACTCCGCTGCGTTTCCATCACAATGACAGTTTATGACTGTTCAGTAAACCATTCGGCCCGAGATTTAGGCTGGATTTTAGATTTTGGCCCCTTCTCTGATTGAGTTCTACACCCCTAGTATAATGTCAGGCATCTGGAAAATGACCTGCCTATAAATGCAGATGGCCTGCAATGTGTACTAATTCTCTCCTTTCTTTGCTCAGTTTTGTAAGCACTTCAGTTTTCACTCCAGGTAAGGAGAGAATTTTTCTGTCCGGTATTTCTTTGAGATTCTTTTCTTCAGGGTCAAGAGCAAAGATGGAACAGTTTTTCTTTTCCTCTTAATCCAAGGTGGACTATGACCTCGTTTTAAGGGGGAAATGGAGAAGACCACTTCTCTGTGTCTTTCCTCTTTCACCCAGTCACTGAAAAGGGTAAATGTAGGTGCTGGAGATCAGCAAGCAGGAGCTAAACTCAGCTGCCTAATTTTAAAAATGTCTGAGACATTTCTCACCCTGGCAGTTAAAACTGACCAGTACCCAACTTTTCATGGCTCAAAGCCCCAGACTTTGGATTTTTCAGACAAAAACTCCTTTATGACTGTGCTCCCGCTTAGCTAACCAGAACCTGGCCGCGCTGTTTTCTACACAAGGTGGGCCCCTCAGCCTTTGGCAGACTTGGAAAACAAAAATGACAGCTTTGGAAAACCTGGCTCATCTTTCCAGCCACAAGTGCAGAAATGGATGCCTCAACCTCAACTTCTGACAGGCCTCTGGATTGCCAAAAGCAGAGGGAGAGCACCCTGGAGCCTAGCTGGAAGGAGACTGCATTTGCAACCTTTCCTTTCAGCTCACCCACCAAAACTGTGCATGTAGGAAAGGCTGCACATGGCCCCTCGTCCCGGCACGTTCCCTGCATCCAAGCGGAACATTTTCTCCCTCTTTCCGCCCGCAGTTACTAATGCAAAATCCCAGACATGGATGAAAGAAGTAAATGACAGATCGCCGAGTGTCCACAATCCCAGTGAGCCCAGCATCCGGCGGGGAGGATGCCGCCTCATCGCGCCTCATCGCTTTAATGAGGAGGGTCCTCACGTCGCCAAACACTGGGATGCAGCTCGCAGAGAAAGGCGGTTCACCCCGATCAGTACACCGGGTGGAGTGGGGCCGGGTGTGGACATCTGTGAAACCAGCCCCCGGCCGGGCCCCAAGCTCACCCTCCGCGGAGCCGGGGCGTTTCCGCGGCTCCTCCACGACGCTCGGCGCGGCCTCCGGGTCTGGGGGCGAAGGGCGCGGGTCCCGGATCCGGAGCGGGAAGCCCGCCCGCCCGCCCGCAGGCCCCGCGCCGCCGCCTGGCCCAGGAAGAGCCGGCCGCGGCGCTGGGGAGAGGAAGCCCCGCGCGCCGGGCCCTTTCGGGGGGCGAGGCCACCAACGCCCCCCGCGGCCCCCTGGGCCCCGCGCGTCCGTACGTGTCTGTACGTGCCGCCCGCGGGCGGTGCGCGTTCACGCCGCCTACCCGACGTGCGCGCGCCGCCTGCTCCTACGTGCGCGCGCCCACACAGGGCGCGCGCCTCCGGGCCGGGCAGGCGCAAACCGACCCAGGCGGGAGGTGGCGAGGCAGAGGGACTTTGCCCACCCAGTCTCTAAGGCAGCCAGTCGGCGGGGGATTTAACTTTGTTGGTTAATAAACAGCTGAGAAAGGCCAGAACAGTGCACAGTCCTGTGGCGTTGTAACTACAAATTTTAATTTTTTTTTCAATTACAGTTGATATAATATATTCGTTTCAGGTGTACAAGGTGAAGGGATTAAAAAGTACAAGTTACTACCGTGTTTCCCCGAAAATAAGACAGTGTCTTATATTAATTTTTTCTCCCAAAGTTGCGCTAGGTCTTATTTTCAGGGGATGTCTTATCTTTCCATGCACTAGGTCTTATTTTCGGAGGATGTCTTATTTTCGGGGAAACACGGGTAGTTGTAACTTAACCTGCAGAAGTGCATGAGGCAACAGGATTGTAGAACCTGGTATGGAAGTCACTCCCAAAAGTGTCAGAGGTTTCATTGCCCTGGGAAAGGTAGTGTTGTTTTGATATAACCTACATGTTTGTTAACTACCTAACTATTCTTTATTTAGCAAATAGGGTAATATAGATATGTGCACAGAAACACACAAATGTTTGTCAAGCATTCAAGAAAACAGCTTTTTTGTTTTGTTTTTGTCTACCCTGTTGGTTCCCTCCTCAATTGGTTAAATATATCAATGGGCACAGTCGTTCAAGATTTCACTTTTAATGTGAAATTTAAGCCAGCATGGCTTAAAATGGCAAGACGTTTTACTTAGCTTAAATATCAAGATATTCAGCCCTTTGGGCACTATGGTCAACACAAAACATTTCCTTTCTCTTGAGGATTTGAATAGGCCTACATAGATGGGAGAAGCACACTAAGTAAAACTGGACCTTAGAGATGTGACATGGAATATTATGCAGGATTTAAGGGCCCAGGCTCTGGGAATTAGACTTCTTGAGTTCAAATCCACATCTGTCTTGTGATCTTGTCTTCTTTTACCTTTCTCTGTCCAGTTTCCTAATCTAGAAAGTGGGATTATATAGCATTTACCTCAGAGTTTGCAAAAGGGTAATGGAGATACTGCACTTAAAGCACAGTTCTTCCCCAGTAGTGAGCCTTACAACAAACATAAGCTACAATACTTCCATTATTATTAATTATTGCATCCCCAGGAAGCTGTTCAAATATTAAAATATAATAGTTCTTTCCATGGGCTTATACTTTGATTACTAAGATAACTGAGTATTTTTCTTGGGGTTTTCCCAAATTATTTCAGTTCCATTTTTTGTTTCTATAAATGGACTTCAGGAAAGTATTAGCAGTTAATCTTTATAATGGGAGGATAGCTTCTAAAATAGTGGTTCTCAAATTGGACCCCTGGAGGTTACAATGTCAAAACTACTTTCACAGGACCTACCGCAGGCAAAAGAGAGACGGAAACATGCTCAAAGTTACTAATCATCCGAGAGATGCAAATCAAAACAATAATGTGGTACCATCTCACACCTGTCAGAATAGCTGTCATCAACAAGTCAACATTCAAGTGCTGCTGAGGATGCAGAGAAAAAGGAACCCTCGTGCACTGCTGGTGGGAATGTAGACTGGTGCAGCCACTGCGGAAAACAGTACAGAGTTTCCTCAAAAAATTAAAAATGGAACTTCCATTTGACCCAGTAATCCCACTTCTAGGAATATTTCCCAAGAAATCAGAAACACCAATCAAAAAGGATATATGCACCCCTATGTTCATAGCAGCACAATTTACAATAGTTAAGACTTGGAAACAGCCTAAGTGTCCATCAGCAGATGAGTGGATTAAAAAACAGTGGTACATCTACACAATGGAATATTATGCTGCCGTAAAAAAAGAAAGAGCTCTTACCATTTGCAATGGAATGGATGGACCTGGAGAGCATTATGCTAAATGAAATAAGCCAGTTGGAGACAGATAAATATCACATGATCTCACTCATTTGTGGAATATAATGAACAACATAAACTGATGAACCAAAATAGAGCTAGAGAAAAAAATATATATTTTAGAATATAACAGAAGTAATCCTGTTATTTGCATATTTTAATATTTTTTACAACCTTTGTGATATTATACTATGTTAGCACTAGAGGCCCAGTGCACGAAACATGTGCCCTTCATACCCCTCAGCCTGGCCTGCCCCTTCTCACAGTCCAGGAACCCTCAGGGGATGTCCCCCTGATGGCTCCTAAGGGAGCGGGCCTAAGCCACATTCTGGCCTACCTCTGCAGGAGGTGACTGGCCAAACAGGGAAAGGCACTGCCCCCATTGCTCCCTCGCTGCTGCTGCCTCTGGCCTCCCTCTGCAGGAGGTGACCCTGCAATCACCTCCATCATGCTTCTGCTGCTGCCACTACCAGCTGCAAGGCTGCCTGTGCCATCGCAGCCACTGCAGCTTGCCTGAACCTCGCCCAGCTCTCATTGCCTGAGCCTCAGCCATCCCTGGGCAAGTGGCAGTGGCCATGGGCTGTGAGCTTACCCACGCTTACCCAGTTGGGTGTGCTCATCTGGTGATAGACAGACTGTATCTCCCAGGGTTCTCCTGGCTGCAGGGGAGTGTGCAGGTCTCCCTCCAGCCCTGGGTCATTGGGTCTGGCTGCTAGAAGAAATTCCCTACATTGGTTGCCTGGACACCTGGAGGCCTCCACCGATTCCCGACCCTGACCCGAGGGGCATTGAGGGGTAATGGAGGGGGCCTGGGAGTTAGTGGAACCGCAGGAAGGAGCTGCCTTTCTCAGAACCTCTGACCCGCAGTGCTGGAGGCCAAAGTGGGGCGTGGTTGGGTCTGGAGCTCTTAGCTATGAAGCTGAGACTTTCCCTCACATGCCTTCACTGCTGGTCTTTTCCTTGCTCTCACCTGCCTTTGCTGGTGGGCTGTCCCTCACTCACCTGCCTTGGCCGCCAGTGTGGAGGTTTCCCAGCAGAGTGGCTCAGCTGCCAGTTTGCAGAAGGAGCCTGTGGTCCTTCTGGGCAAGCAGCAGCATCCTTCGCGAATCCTGACAGCCGCCTCCGCTCCCATGTGTTGAGTACAGGCCACCCTCCACCTGCCTCCCCTTCCCCCGTCCCCACTGCCACTTGCCCAGGGCCAGCCCAGAGCACGTGGCAGCCACCATCGTGTCCCCAAAGCTGCAAGTTCGTGCCCACCCATGCCAGTCGTTACTGTGGCGGCATCCCAACCAATTTACATATTACCCTTTTTTTTAGTATAGAGAGTTTTGGTAATATTATTGTGTTTAAAATATTTTTTCTTGAATTATTAATGTTTATTGCATGTAACATTATTATATTTAAAATCGGGTGTTTTTTTTAAATAAAATAAAAATTCCCTGAATGCAAGAGAACAAAAGTGAAAAAACACATAAAACACCTACTTTCACAGTAATACTAGGATGTTAGTTGTCTTCACTATACAGGTATTTGCTCTGATGGTGCAAAAGTCACAGTGGATAAAACCCATGACACTTAGCATGAATCCAAGCAGTGGAACAAAACTGACTTGGGAGTCACCACCATACACTTAAAGTAAGAACAAACATACCAAAGGGTCACAGAGGACGTTCCCTTCAGAATGGAGGGGAAGCGCACAGAGCACTCCCGCATACCCAGGTGTGGTGGTTGTCAGGAGGCAAAGCTCTTGGGCCATGGTTTGCAATGCAAAACAGCTAGCTGCTTTGTCTAATGGAACATCACCAACTTTACTCACAAGAACTGACAAACTGATTCCACACACTTGGGTATTTGGCAATCATTTCCTCCCAAATGAATGAAATGAGCCTATCACTTCAAGGAAAACAACTGTAGCCTTTGTCACCAACGGTAAAATTCAAACTTTCAAGTAAAAATTCAAATTTTTAAAAAACCTGCATCTGCCACTATGAGTTAGACAACATCCCGATATTTAAAGATTTTTCTGATGAAATCAGTGGTCATGCTAACAATCTTTTTTTTTTAATATGTGGTATATTGATATTCTGATTGTGGCAAAATAAAAAATATATATCGGGCCTTTCCTTCAGTTCATAACTGAAACTTCTAAAACCTTTGTAAAGTCCCAAATGATAGGGGTGAGGGGTGATAGGGTCATCACTTGTTCTAATATTTGGTCTTTGTTCCTGATTTCTAACAAAACTCCTACTCTTTGGGTTTCTTGATAATTTTTAATATATATTTTTATTGATTTCAAAGAGGAAGGGAAGGGATAGAAACATCAATGATGAAAATCATTAATCAACTACCTCCTGCATGACCAACACTGAGGATTGAGCCCATAATTTGGGCATGTGCCCTGACCGGGAATTGAACCCATGACCTCCTGGTTTATAGGTCAGTGTTTAACCACTGAACCACATTGGCCAGGCTGGGTTTCTTGATAATTTTTAAGAACTGTGCATAGGTTTGAAAACTGCTATTCTACAATAACTGCTATTCTTTTACCAAATTTTTAATGGTCAAAGAAAAATATACCAGATTCTTTTACCCTTCATAACTGCCAAGTGTGTATTTTTAAAGTCAAGGCTAAAGGTGCCTGAACTGGAAGTGGCACTGGGAATGACAGAAGTTAACCACTAACCAAAAACTATTGCTATCTGTTTGAACCAAACCTGTGCATCAATCAACTTGATACTTTTAGAAAAACCCAGATGCCTCTTATAGGGAGCACGAGTTATATGGAGAACCATCATCCTACAAGAGTAAGAATTTGCCATTTCATCTGAACATTCTGGGATATTAAGATTTTATAGAGAATTTGTTTATGTTGCTCTCCGACCTACCAGCTGCTTTCTCCAGCTCAGCCTCCAAGATGGGGAAATCCTTCGCCAATTTCATGTGCAAGGAGGACTTCCATCTTGTCTCCAAATCCAATATCAAGAAAGTATGGATGGCACGACAAA